CCTTTGACGCCTTTCATTTTCTTTATATGTATTTATTTTTAGGAAAATTAGGCGAGGGATCGGCCCTGGATTCGTTAAGACAATCAATGGGGCAATCCGAGTTGTCTTTCGTGTACAACACGATTCCAACTCTATATGAATAGCGAAATCGTTCAGCGATTAACGTTATGGGATACGGAGTCTCTGATACCTCATCGATCACTTATACCGGTGAAGGTTTTCAATGAAATAATTGTACGGTCACAATAAGCACCAGTGGATAAACTTAAATGCTGTACGTGTCTTAGTTTTTACCCAGAATCGCATACAGGCAAAGGTAGATTTATGCAAAACCAATAGGCTGCATCTGCTCTATCTGTGATAGGCTGGCAGCACAGTCCCACTGATATAGTCCAAAACCCCCCATGTCCTTATGTTGACCACTAGCTGTATTTCCTCTGATTGTGTACTTATTTTACCTAGGATCTAGAAACGGTCCTATAGAAACGTTGGCAACGGCAATACCGGCTGGCACCACCTTCTCCCCGAACAGTTCTCTGCAGGCCGATAACAAATAAGTATTACGGGGGTCAAGGGACTGCCGTATTTTCCTTCTCTCTTTTCCCTCTTCTGCTCGTTAGTCCGGTCTCAAGCAGCAGCCGTAGCAGATGTGTGCCAAGCGGCGTACTTTCCCAAGCTTCAAGTAGCTCCGTTGCTCGTTTCGTTCAACACACTAAGTGCCAACGGAGTAAGTGGTCCGGCCTCAGCGCAGCGACTGAGTATCGGGTAGGAGGTCTAGTCTAACGGCAGCATTGTAGTTTAGATTGTTCCAAGTGTCTATGTATGCGCCCTCAATTGGGATAGCGGCTAGGAGGGCAGGATCTTAACAAAGCATTGTCTCCTGATGAAGCGTGCGTATCTAGGCACGCGCTAGTAATGTATGAATACTCGAGTATCTATCTAGCGGTCCATTTGATAGTGAAATCCGAGCTAATCTAAGTAAATTGACAGGATGGAGTGAGGTTTCCAATGTCATTCTCTCAAGGCGGACCCCTTTGATAGAGCCTTTCAACCAGCTCTTTTCCTCTCCTTTCTTTTGCTACGTGTAACATATAGCATACACACACACATATATATGTATATACGTATGCGAAAATGGCGCCATTTAAAGAGTTCTTCATGGAAGAGGAAGAATAAGAAAGTTTAGCTCGTCGGTTCGCAGAAAATCAACGGAACTAAATGCTTGCGAGAAATATAGCCGGTATGAAGAGTCTGCAGGTAGCACTCACTAATGAATTTAATAGGAATAAAGGATCCTTAATAACACTCACTATAAACATGAGTATAACAGTAGGCAGAATTATTTTATTGAAGGTACGAAGAACGCTGCGTTATCAGACTTACTTACAGGTTTAAGGTGCATATTAAGATTGCATTCAAAATACCCTGTAAAATAGACGTTCTATTTCGTGTCATAAGAGAATGCTTCTTGATTATGATTTTTATTGAGTCAGCCTTACAGGTAGAGAGTAATCTACTTAGAGCGGGTGTCTACAGTTGAAAAATCTAAATATTACTTATTGAAAGTTTCAAGTACATTATTTTGAGGTTAGACATTATTAACTGTGTTCTAAGCGCGTTCTTTAGGTTAGGCAGCATCTTTTATGCCGAGGGGAATTGACAGTCCTTAGCTTTTTAGAGCTAGAATAACAGAACAAAAGAGGTAAGTGACAAGCACGCAGACCAGCGTTTTCTGTCTACTTGGTGATTCTGTTCTTTGCGACAGGGCTTTTAATTTCGGTAAACGTTAGCCACATGAACCGTGTCCTATGATTACGTCTGTGTCATATGATGCACAAGATGGCGTACCCAACTAGATAGCGTGTCTTTTTCCGACCGTGCATTGAGTACCGAGCTAATGGTCCTGCTCCCGTTTTAACAGAGGAGAGCTCTGACAAACGGATGCACATTCTTATGTGGAATCTTCGTTAAAGATTTATGTCACCAAAATGTCGTATTGATCATACTTGTACCATCTTTTTGACAAAAATGATGAATAAAATACGAGACGTACGCGGGCTATATCACTAAAGAACGATATGAAGATGCTATATAGCAAGCAATTATGCCAACGAATTGTGATTTAATGAACCTTTGCATTGTACTTCCTGTTATATGGAACAAAACTATCGCCGGCTTCATACGCCGGCTTCTAGTCCACCAATAACCTATTTCGTATTCAGGCCTTTTTAATTAAGCTGTTCCTTGTTAGCGTCGTTAAACCGCGTAGATTAATAGAATTACAATTTAACATATATTTACCGGTGGACAGAGGATCCGGCTTTTATTAGGTATTACAGGGATGTTTTCAAATATCCAGTTTGAAACAGCATTTACGAAGCACGGAAGTGTGCCGTTTATTATTAGCATATCTCTTATTGAAAAATTGCAATTTTAAAGGCGGAAGAGTATTTTACCCTATATGCCTCCGGTCTATTTATTATACTAAGCAGAAAAAGAGCAGGTAAGGTTTTACTAAGTTTAGTAATGATAAAGTTTTAATCGCTGAGCCAAATCTCATTATAATAAGTATGGAGTATTTTAGGAATATCGTCGTCATCGTGTTTCCATTGTAGTTGAAAGTATTGTGTAACGCTTATATGTCCGATATTTTGCGATAAGTATGAAATGGTGAATTTCCTCGAGATCTCAACTAGAAGGTAACCATCATGATAGCTATCAACAGGTACGTGTAGCTTGCTTGAATAAACTTGCAGTACAAGCTACTATACAGAGAAATATTAGTAGCATCTACAAAACAATAAAGAGAGTTGACAGTGGGTGTGGCGGTATCCAACAACTAACTCGATGATCAATAACATCAGATGCACGCACTTACAACGGTCACACACACTGGGGCATTTACGCACACACTAGTGGCGCCAAAGCTACAACAGCAAAGTTTGTTCTTTCGACAGTACGACGAACTTTACTCTCCCATGCTTGGCCTAACTCATTTTCCCGCTTTGCTCGAGAGCATTCAAGTGCGTTCACTCGTTGTTGAATTAAGACGCGCGTGGCAACAAGCGACGCTTTACTATGATACACATAGAGACACGAGCTCCGTTGCAGGTTTATGCTCCATTTCAATAGGAAAACCGCTACTCTGGCCAGCTATTCCAAGGAGCTAGTTTAATAAAAAGCCTGCTTTTGTGTCCTATCTTTTCTATCCTTGACCTCAGATCTTAACACGACGTTTCTGGCATCCAACAGTAAGTCTAGAGGAAAGAGAGGCAAAAGAGAAAAATACTGAAGTCTAAAAAGGTGCCTGCGACGACGTCAACGAATCTAGCTGCAGAGAACGTGATGCGTTTGAGTTACGCTTTTAAAGGAACACTGCCGGTTTTGGGTGCGGCTTGGTTTTGGAATAAATTTAAATTGGTCTGGCTGTTTTGAGTGGCCGTCCAACATGCTCGCTTTCGAGTGAGCCGCTCATGGCCACCAGTTTATAGCTCGCTTTGTTTTAGGAAGGATGGCTAGTTTAAGGTTATCACGGCTAGTAAGTGTTTTTGCCACTCACTGAGAAGGGAACTTCCAGTGCAGATATCACTAAGATGGGATGTCTGAACTACTTTGTATATTGCACAGGCCAACATGTCAAGCAACTTCCCAACCTATCAATATCCGTACCCAGTCGACGATCGACTGGTAGCTGTACGCAGCATCTATTGTACTAAGCATTTTACGAATTACAGTCTACAAGGTGCTTAGTAACAAACATCGAATCGTTTTAAAAATTTGTCAACATGTAGATAATAGCTAAAGTAACCATTCGCACAACCCTTACGTAATGTTTTCTAAACATACGTTTAGTCATCAAGCTCAAAGCAAATGTCATTCTTGCTTCAACAAAACAGATGAGGCAATTGGGTTTAATGCTATAATGCGAAGCTCATCATCCGTAAAGCCTTGGGGGGAATCTGACTGCTGCTACTGGTAGTGCTATCGCTTGCTTCATATACAACGGAAGCGGCTCAGCGGGAACTAACAAAGCAGTCATTGCAGGACCAGGACGGCACAAGCCGAGAAAAGAACCATCGATCCTTCTTAATGTTCCGCTTTGAGACCTCGACAAAGTCTCTTAGACAGAAGTCATCTATTGGACTTCACTGGTGTGCTCGATTGGGTCCCTGCATGGCTGTGCTATAGCCAATCGTCGAAGTTCGTTGTCGTGTATAATGCCACAGGCGAGTGTCTACTCACGGCGGATATTAGGCATGACATAAACAGGGAGCTGGGGGAGTATAAATGACAAGTATGAGAAATTGCGGCTATCGCAGTTCGGCGAACCAACGACGATCGGGACTGCAGATGGCAAACTGTTGGGGCAGAAGTTTTTCAGATATCTAGGCGCATATAATCCGAGGTGTTTAGACCTGAACAGTGCACATCCGCTCAGCGTGTTCGGTGATTTTACAGGCACAATTTGTTTTATTACATAGAACGCTATAATACATGCGAACGCAGACACTTGTAGCGTTTATTTACCATAAAAGTTTATGATCGAAGCAGCCAACAACAACCGCCAAGTTCGAGCCTGGACCAGGCTTACGAACCCATAAATAAAAATTTATTTCAATCTAGCTAATCCTTACCGTCGAATGGCCATTTCGTTGCTTTACCTGCCCTTCGTTTCATCCAAGCAGTTTTTCACGGAGTATCCCGCGACACTTACGGCTTTGCGTACTAGAAGACGCGTCCGTCCATATCTATCTGTCTACGCGGAAGGAAGAGAAGGAGATGTTTCTGGTAGCACTCTCCGCGTGGCAATGGCCGCCTGGCCGCCGGCTGTCGTTTATGTTCTTTTCCACCTCCTCTCAACAGCGGCGCTACCCTTTCCTTCGAGGTGGCGAGGGTATTTGGACCGGAGCGTGCGCCCTCCTTGATCTAGTCCAGTCAGTATGTTCGCATCCTACGTAAGAGAGTGTTGTCCTGTCTAGTGGTATATCTCTGTGGTGTGTTTCTCTTGGCAGCCATATCCCATTAGCCTTTAAGTGCTTGTGTAGTCTCATCTACAAAAGCGCATATTGCCTGTCTCTCGGCTGTCGTGACAGTTTGGAACTACCCATAGCTATCTAAAAAGGGGAAAGTAGGAAACAATTGAAATTGGCAAACATTAGCGGTGCAGCGGTGTGGCCTGGGCGGCAGGTGACCAAGTTCCTGCCAACAGGTGAACGAAACTATCCAGCGAACGAGTTAAACGCTAGTCAAATCAACAAAACCAGGGAACGGCATTCATTACTACGGTTTGTTACTCACATTGCTAATCTCTTGTTGACGGTGTCTGCCAGTGACACTAAAAAGTGGCCTGAGGATTAAGCAAAGGATTCTTTCGCTTCGATTTTGTCGTTGTGTGTATTTCTTGTTTACTATTGCAACTGCCTGTGGCCGTGGCGCATCGAGAGCAGTGACCTTTCCGCACTGACAAACCGTACCATCGACAGCAAGGTATGGACAGAAGAGCTTACGGTGTACGATTCTCAAGCAACGTTTTGCACAGACAAAAGCAAATATTTTAATCAGGAAACATTTACACCCGTTTACAAGCACACAGACATACAGTACATTAATCACGTTTGACCCAACCTGAGAGAATTACATCTACTATGACATCATCTAAATCATCATTTGAAATATTTGCCTTTTCTTTTTTTCATAGACAAATAAGGTACATCGGGGCTACTGCTAATGTATACCAGCCTTCGAATATCTTAACGAAGTAGACCGAAATTGAATTATTTTTAGTAATTCTAAACATAATGTTGATTTAATTAGGAGATAAGTTTTGAATAATCGTTTTCTGTGAAAATTGATTTTTGAAAATTTGTTTAAAGTAGCTTCCCGTGGAAACCTTTCTGTCGCTTTAGGTTGGCCGGAATGAAGAGACCATCCGTGTGCCGTAGATTCACAAGGGCCACAAAGTACAGTGAACAACCTGACAGCAGCTCTCAATTTCTTCTAATCAAATCGTGTGTGAGGAAGCTACATGGAAGGAGTTTGAGGGGATAGGTACAATATTGGGAAGTTTGCAGGACTTCTTCCTATCCCTACTTATATTATAAAGAAGTGCTCTGGCGTGGTGCAACGCATACGCCTTTTATCCACTGCCCATCTACCCCAACATCGGGCGTGGAAATACTTGAAATTTGTTTTTAAGGATCTACGGTCAATCTAGCGCGGCGACGTTCTGCCAAACACATCTCATATCGAGTAACTGTCCCCTGCCTAATTTCGCTTTTATAACCTGGCCCATTATAATAATGTAGATTGCGCATAGCAGAACGACGCACGGTCGCACAATACCCGGTCAGGATTCTGACAGGAAGCCGACTACATATGTCGCATACCCACTGTTGCCGTACTGGGGTCGCCAACGGTTGCCAGCAGGCAAAATGGAGCGCCCCATTCGCGTAGAATGATTTTTAAGATACGTTGAGACGAATCCGAGTGCGGAATTATTACTGTAACTTACGATTGTCATTGTTGCTCGCGTTTGGTACTACCACATTCGTTTATCGTATCGCCATGACCGACACAAGATAATATAATGCACCTTATGATCTCATATGCCGAGCAGTTTAGTGAATATTCAGCTCTTTCGCAGCGCGTGAAAAAGTTCTATCAGAACATTTGTCCTAAGCTTTTATTTCTACCGGCTTTCCTCTCTGCTGGTGGTGTCATTTCGTATTAGCCGCGGCATCACCGCTTCAGCATTTGTATATGCAACAGGGGTAAGTGATGGTGGAGAAACTAGCGAAAAGTCAAGGGAACGAAACACAGGGACGGCGGAGAAGCTAGGATCTTCAGAATGGACCTGCCAGCCGGGTCTGGTCGGGAACTATCGTTGTTGTTGTCCAGGACGGAGTTTTCTAATCATGTTGGTCTCGGTCTTCGTCGTAAAGGTTGTGTTGTCGCAAGCAAATCTTGTTAGTTGCCTGTTTGCCTCGTTCTCGTTCAGTCGCTCTCACGGTTTCAAGCGACGACGGTAGTAGCTGCCGCGACGTTTTCTTTCCTCCTGCACTGTTGTTATTTCGTCGTATGGCGGCGCTACCGACGGTAGCTTTGGTAACGGTGGCAAATTAGATCAGCATGGGAACGAGACCGCGCGATCAACATTGACTTTGCAGGTCGGCCAGTGTTCCACCGTTAAGCACTGGCATTAAGGTAGAACGAAGGAGAGAGATGTAGCGTCGACAGCAACGAATGATGCAGTAATGCCTACTTGTTTGAAAAATAGAAGGCTAACAAGCGTAGGGGACTGAGATGGTAGGCGTAGTTGTTGCATGGCCTTTGGATGGAGGGTCTTCTTTTAGGTTATGGACAGTTGAGATAGACCTGCGTGTGAAGCCGTCTTTTCTTTGCATCGTCACCGGGCTATCTTGTTTTTTTCTACCGCTAACACCTTTTCATGCTCCTTCTGTATCCCGACTGCCGTTTCCTTACCGGTCATTTGTTGCAGACTCCTCGATTGAATCGAGGGTCGCTGAGTGTCGTGCCGCCGGCAGCATCAAGAGGACAGGTCTCCTTGTCGTGGTGGAGATGCTGGTGTCGATTGACTGTCACCGTCCCTTACAATTGCACGACTATACTTTGCTCGCAGACAAATACACCTTAGTGCCTAGATAGAAATTCTACGTGCGTGTGCATTTGTGCCTTTGTGTGGTCGAGTCACTCCCTCGTCGCGTTGCCAACTGGCTGCGAGGACAGTCACTACCAGCAAAGCAGCAGGCAGCTAGAACGAAGAGAAATTGAGCGCTAGAGACTAAAGCTGAACTAGGGGGAAGGTTCCGGAGCAGAAGAGCAACTCTGTCAATAAGTAGTAGTAGAGTATCATAAGGCACACAACTATGACACACTTAGCACAGAAGGCTGAGTATGGAAGACAACGAACAGACAGTTGCGACAGTTCTGATGGCTAGTGTAGTTGACGATGAATTGCAAAGATACTTCCGTGTGGTTTAGTGGGTAACATAACGAATGAAAAACGCACAGCACTGATACCTGACGTTTTTTCAGAAGGCTAGTCTTCTGCAAACTTGTGGAGGCAGCTGGGACGCGGTCCTCCACTTCACTTCTGGACAAAACAAGGGGCGAAAGAGGAAGGCTGGGGTGGCGCGTAGGCTATCCGCAGAGATATACGTAGACTAATACGGAACGAGAAGTGCCACTATTTAGGGATGATCTTGACGTAGACTTCGGACGAGCTGCTTGATTGGATTTGTTGCGATGAAATAGCATTGCAAATCAGCACCTGTTGATCTAGAGAAAAAAAGGTCATGCTAGCATCTTAGAATCAAATATAGGAACCTTCGGTGGTATGTATGATGGACGTTTTGAGATAGCGCTGGGCCCTTCAGTAAGCCATGTTTCGGCCGATGATGTTTATAATTTTAATGTTTTATCAGTTTATAGACAGACCATTAAGCTTACATAACGTGATTTCTATTGAAGGTTTTTTATAACAACAGTTGCAGGCCTATAAGAAAGCCATTGCCTTCACATTCAAGAATAAGAGTGTATGCTCGTACAATGTTTGACGATTGCAAGAACGTGCGTGCAGATTTAATTAATTAATAAGACTCAGTTGATGAAAAACTTGCTATGCTTGTGGCATGATTACCGGCCTGAATATATCTGACTTTGTCGATACCTCATTACGTTCAACTAAAAAGAAATTCAACTGCCTACCTCAATCTTCCTATCGGCAAAGCTGTTTTGCGTAAACACATCTAAAAACGAGCACCCGAGCATGTTGATGTATTAATCTTATTACTAAGATTAAGAACTGTCTCTTGTTTCTATATGTAGGAAGATTCAACCTGCTATCTTGTTATTTGCCAATTACATTTTACAGAAACCTGTGATAACCTTGGCGCCTTTTGCTTTGGCTTTTCGATTTCAAACGATTCCGGGTGGAAAAGTCCTACACAATAATCGAGAATGTCCGTTTATCAAGGCTTAGCCAAATTGCCTTAGTCGGCCGAGCCGCATCATTTTATCTAAAAGTTGTATTTCTATCAATTACCCTAGCACAGATCAAAGTTGGCATAAATGAAAGTACTTAAAGTGCGGCAAAGTACGATCTAATTGCATACTGGTAGTATCCTCTCGGTTATGAAACAGTTTATTAACTGATATACTGTTCTTCTCCTCAGACTTTGATTCAATTCTACGTACAGCTGGGCTCAAGAGTGAGCAAACTCAAATTTGCGAACATGTCAATGATAGCCTTAAGTCTAGTTTAGAAGTATCCTGCAAAGCCGATGCTCATCAGGAATCGGCATCCAAAGAAGATGCTGTCTGATTGAAAAAAAGGAATTAGTCCTTCACTAGATGGATTTCCAGGTAACACTAGCACTATATGTCGAGCCTTGTCTCTAATCTAAACTAACTTAAAACAGTATACTTCCACTATTCTCGCTCATTTCGATCATTTTCTTAGTGTCTAACGCTGACGATGATGCTAGGGGACTTACAACAAAGTGGTGACGTTAAGCTTCCAATCAATGCGGATGGCTATGCGTTTTGGCCTGCAGAGCCGAAGCCGTGACCTGTCAGTACATTAACATTCTTTCCACGTATTGCACCAGCGGGTTTCTTACGACCAAATGCTACGCTTTTCAGCCCCTTGATGGAGGAAACGAGCCAAACGGAATAGGGTTGGCGGGCTCTCTTCTCACACCTCGGTAGGAAGTCTAGGAAACTTCCAGGACAAACACGACGCCTTTGGCTACTTTCAGGATGGATGCCCATTCTAAACAGAGGTGAAATATACCCGTTGTATGATGTGGGTGAAGGCTTGGGAGTTGCATTGTTGGGAATGTTTAAAGCTGGCGGAGGACGAGGAGGAGGCAAGTGAAAGAAGAACGAAAGAAGCTTTATGGGCTTGTATTGTTTGTCCACGCGTCGAAGACGAATGTGTCAATTGAGAGCTGACAATGGTTCCTGGATTCCACCGCGTCACTCTCTTCTGGGGCCTTCCTGAGCCTCTTTGGCTTTCGCTCTTTCTAAAAAGGCATTGCGATACTAGCAAATCCGACATTTTCGTATCACTGCTAGCGCTACCTAACTACAGTCATGGAACTCTGCTGAGCTGACATGTCAATCTATGGCTGTTTCATCTAACTTACACGAATTCATACTACTACTTTCTATATCGTGTTGGGCAAACGAACGACTAATTTCATATGGTGTCTATCCTCATAAGCCGGCGGCACATATACGTGACCGAATATAGAATAATTGTCATTCGGGCAAGATTAGAGTCCTCTCCTAGCCAACCCTTCTACAACTGATAATTTCATGCACTTGATTAAATGGGCTCGATGAGTTGATAACATAAAAATCACATCTTACAATGCTTGTAAAGGAGAGCACATTGAGAAATCGCGCGTTTCAAGTAAACGCGCTATGATAGCATATGGACGTCTCTAGCAGAACGTACACAT